TTATCGCTAATTCCAGTGGTTACCTTTTGCTCATCGGAAAGCAGACAGGACTAAATGGCTACATTTTAAGTTTTCATATGAAACCTTGGTTCCTTTTTCAAATCAATCTTTAATTTAAAATCAAAGTTTGTAAATTCGACAACCTTTACCATGCCTAAAACGAACATGTTTATTTTTGCGTGTTTGAAGGGCTTTGCACCATGATTGCCGTGTCATGGTACGCCGCCAACATCACGCAGCAGTTCTTTGACCAGCTTTACGCAGGGACAAAGTAAGTTGACACGAACTCTGTCAGCTAATCAAAAACAACAGAACAATAATTATCATTTACCACAGAAAGGATAACGCACAACAGAGTATGAGATAAGACTTTATTGTGTGGCAGGTACGAGATTGGACAAGGCCTCTACATCGGCTGGTCTTCGGCCGTGCTCGCGCTCTGCGGCGGTTCGTGTCTGCTGTGTGCCTGCAGGTTCAAGTCGCCCAATGAAAAAATGTGAGTATTTGTTGGAGTTCAAGTCTAATACAAGTCAATATTCCTGGCTGACATAAGACTTGTGTTTTAGCCCGTACCCATACCGACAAACCACCAGAGGACACGTCCGCTCAGTCGCACCAACGTCTCAGACTCCAAGCAACTATGGACGAAACGCATACGTCTGAGAGCAACTGGAGACTTTCACCATTTGTTATTTTCTGGTGATAATGAAGACCTAAGAATTGGAGAAAATTTAATTTTATATACGAACTGTTGTTTAATCAGAAAAAAAAAATCCATTGTGTATATTTCTGGCAGAGCTTTTAGTTGCAGCTATTTTTCCTTTTTTAATCCAATCGTTACCGAAAAGTTGTAAAGTATATAAAAAAAAAACCTCATGCTCATTTCTTGTGGAGATTTTTAAATATGTGGCTGTCAGCAATAATTCATTGAACTGATGTTTTATAGTGAACTTTTCCATTAAAGCTTCCAAAGTAAGTGTCTGCTTTCTCAAAGTTGTCTCAATTGTGCAAAATTAAAACACGTCTGCATCAACCCCGGGACACGAAAGAAATACATAAAACTTGTCTTACAGATTAGAGCTGTTCTATTGATGTATGGAGTAGATATTTAGTTTTGGTCTTTTTTTGACGTTTAAACATTAAATTATTTCAAGTTCAGTGTTGAAGATGCACAAAGACTCGGTGTAGTTTCTTATAAGTCAAAGAAACTGCTTCAATCGACTGGAACAATCAGTATCTATGTATAGAGCCCTCTCCAACAGCCAAAATGTGAAAAAGATAAAAACAAACACCACAAAAATGCCAGAGTCCTATTAGGTATTAAAAGCCTGCCTGATTAAAAAGGTTTTGGTTTAAAAAGGCCCAAGTCAGTGATGGAGCACAAGTCCTGAGGTAGTTAGTTCCAGAGTCTGGGTGCCGCGACTCCAAAGGTCCAGTCACCCCAACATTTACATTTAGACTTTGGGATAAACCGTAAAGAAGTATTAAATGACATTAAGATCCTGTCATGCTCACAGAAAGCTACTAGATCAGCTAAATAAGATGAGGCAAGACCATTAAGAGCTTTAAATGTGAAAAACAAAAGTTTAAAATCAATTCTTAAACAGACTGGAAGCCAACGATGAGAGAATAAAGCAGGAGTGATGAGCTGAAGTCTGGGAGTGTTGGCTGCAGCGTATCGGACCAGCTGAAGGCATCTGGAGAGATGGGGAGACTGGGAGATTCCTGCATAGAAAGCATTACAGCCTGTCAAGCCTTGAGCTGATAAAAGCATGAATGGCCTGTTCCAGGTCAGAGGCAGCGCAGAGTGACAGATCCTGGTGAGCAGGGGGAGCAACTTTATCCACCACCAGGGGCAATGGAGGAGTCAGGGGGTGGCTAATGGTGGCCTTGGCCACTGTAGATTAATCTTTGGCCACCCTAATCTTTTCAGGAAACTATACTTTGAAGCAACATAAAAACTAGAAAGATAGTTTCCTCAAATGATCTGCATGGTTGGTTCACATATACATATGGCAGTGGCCATCTTGGATTTTGACATGGCAACCCAATTTTTGACAGTGACCTATTTTTACACTTAGATGCAGCTGCACACTAAAATGGAAGTCTGTTCTTCACATATTTTTCAAGTTATAGAGCTCATAAGACAGATAGGTGACATTTTCAAGTCCCCTCTCTGTTGTGACGGGAGACAAAAAAAATTTGACCTTGGCTAAAAACTTAACTGAACAATGCTGACCTTGACTACAGAAGCTACTTATCAAATGTTAATTTACAGAAGAGGTCTTCACGTTCTGGCAACATAAACTCCCACTAACTACTGTTTCTGCAAGAAGATGTAATCTAATGTGCTGCCAGAGTGAGCTGAATCAACCTAAAGCTGGACTTTGTTGTAAAATATGTGCAAAGTTTATTAAAAAAAAAAAAAATCATCTTTTGAAAGATTAGGCAAGAGTTCATGTAAAATCATGTAACAGTCTGTTGGAAAGTTCGTAAGAAATTTTAATTGGTCTTAATCGCTTCAAAAGCTTTATTAGAATTTTAAACTTTCTTTGTGCCATGGTCATGTTGCAAAGTGCTTGACATCAATTTGTTCACAAAAATCCCGTCTTATCGTTTTAGCTTGAACCTTTTCAGAAGCAGCACCATAAAGTCTTAAAGGCAGATTGTTGGCTTGGGTCAAATAAAACAAGTTTTTAATGGCAATTACAATCAGCATAAACACTGTTCACAATTAAATTATGAAAATCTGCTGACTCACGAGAAGGATGGGGTGGATACAAACCAAACACAGCAGCTAAAGTACGTGGTTTTCCTCGACAAACATTTAACTTTTTGGCGCCTCATTAACTAAATTGTCCAGGTTCTGTCCATCAAAGCGGATGAAGTGCCAGCCTTCGGTAGCAGTGAGGTCCTGGGCTCCTTTAGCAGCGTAGAAGTCTCGAGTCGGGGTGTTCCAGTTCAGGACGGACATCTGCAGCCGAACACACTGCCTGGATTTCCCCACCTGATCAAACAACAAACAACGATGCTTTATCCTGCACTCGATGGCACAAAATCAGCCAATGCTCCAGTATATTAAACCTACCTCGGCCACTTTGCACAGCAAACCCTTACCAATGCCATTGCCTAAAAAAAATAATAAAAAAAAATGGATGTAAAATACAATATATAAACTAAAACGTTTTTATAGTAATGCTCATAAACTTAATGCTACAAGACAAGATTTTGCTGCAGGGAGTTACAGGTCCTGTTGAATTTATTTTACACCTCTGAATTCTGGCGTCACATATAGGTCCTCCAAATACACGGATCTCCCCTTCCAGGTGCTGTACGTGTAAAAGTACAGGGCGTAGCCGACAACTGTAAACCCTACAGGAAGAAGGACAAACGCAAAACAAACAGGAAACATAAGAAATGCAACAAGTATCGTCAAAGAACTACTTTTTTATTGTTAATACACGTGAACCGAGTCATAGAAAATATCACTAATAATAAATTTGAACATAACAAAATGCAAAGTGAAGGAGTCTGAATATAAACTATAATAATGTCAGGCTAACTGCAGAACACACGATACGTTAAAGTCCCCATCGCTGAGGGGTTTGAAGAGTGGATGTTTGTATTTTTGGAGATGAGTGTTTTTCTGGACCGGAATTAAACAGAGAATGCAAGTAAGCCTGAATGTTTTTGGTTCAACATATTTGTTACACTGTGGGGAGGAACAGAGGGAGGTTTTGTTATAGTTTTGCTCATCTCAGGAAGCTCAGTGATGGATGGTGACGGGGTGGCAAACGAGGACCTTGCCCACCATAGATTAATCTTTGGTCACCCCAATCATTTCAGGAAACTAGACTTTTGGCAGTGACGGCTGGTATCAGTGGGCTAGGAGGGCTAAGCCCTCCCTCCTGGCATTTACAATAAAGATGTTAAAATAACTTAAAAATAACAACTTAAAAATAAATACATTTTAGAAGTAATGTCACATTTTGTTAAAGTTACAAGAAAACTGCTGTCGAACCGCCTGGGGAAAATCCCAGAGTCGTTCCAAAGGGCTAAATTCTGACAGCCCCGTTCTGTTACTGTCCCTTCATGGTTCAGAATGATTGACAAACATCTGGCCACGCCCCCTCGGTTTGCCACTCATCAGGGCTAATTTTGTTCAGCCCAGGGTCCGCCCACAGCCACAGGATTCATCCAATGAGGGTGGACATAGAATAATGTGCCTCAGCGTGAGTGTATGTGGGCGTGGCTTGGTGTAGACAGCTGTATAACGTGCTGAACTTGGCTGGATATTAATTCAGCTCGGAACAAATATTATCAACCTGTCAGTTCGTTTTTATTCTTCTTTTAGTTTACTCTGTGTTGTGTTTAATGATGATCAGAAGATGAGCATTGAACTGAGTTCTGTTTAATCTGCATAAAAACAAAACGTGCACTGGTCAGAATCATCGCAGCTGCACCTCGTGCCGTCTTCGTCTTCTCATTGAATGGACCTGTTGCACAATACACCTGTAACAAACCTTATACACGCTATTATGTACACACACACACATATACACACACACACACACATATATATATATATATATATATA